GCAAATCGTTTATTTTTGGAGGAAGAATCGAGTCCCAAAACCACCAGCAAGTTGTGGGTTTCTAAGTATTTTTTGTCGTCAGAATCTTCTGCTCCGAAACATCACTCTGACTACATTGTTTCAACTTCGATAGTTCAAAATGTTTCTAAACCATCACAAATCTTAGACTACAGAAGAAAAGAAAAAATTGAAGGCAAAATATGAAGACCCATCTTTGGTGTATCTTTTTGGTGCATCTCTTTTTGTGTGTCTATTTGTTGCAACTCTTTGGTGTTTCTCTTTGGTATGTCTCTTTTGTCACACCCCCACCCTGGATCACATAGGATAAGCAGTGAACCGACCACCAAGGCCTTAACCAACCATCCTTGTGCATAATTAATATAAAATACAGCGGAAGATAAATAATAAAGTGATCATTTTCACCGACCTAATAAATACCAGAGAAATAAAATAACATCACCGACATTATTACTAAACGCATGTAAAATAATAATTAATCCATAAGGTTCACTACTCAAAGAAAAAACAACATTGTTCTCAAAACAATCGAATACTTGTCTCAAAACTATAAAAAAATATTTATTCCTGAAAACCTACAATAAAATAAATCTTCGATTCTTCTAATCCCTTGTCTATCCGAGAACTTACTCCTCCTCCTGATCTTTACCTGAAAAATGTTAAATATTTGGGTGAGCACAAAGGCCCGTGAGTAGCAACCATCTCTAATGAGGTTTGAAAATAAATCCTACATTTCATATACACATAAATAAACTTTGTTATATACATAAATACAATAAATTGTACCTCAATCTATTTCACATAACTACGTAAACAAAATGATCTCATGATCATAATAATTTTATAAAAGAAAAGACATTTATAGCTCAAAACACTCACACACACATTCAGTCTCAAATACACTTGTCAAATCATGTTTGTTCCCACTAGGCTAGTGACTGGCTCCGTCTCTTGTCATCATTAGCATGATAATTGACCCCTATGTGCACATCTCTATACCGACCACGCCAGTATACAATCTCGTTACCATTTAGACCTGATAACCCAGTCCCTTTCTCATAAAACATAATTTCAACACACACACTAAAACTGTTGTTTTAGTCCCATCGTACACAAAATTTCTCTTTCATTACCAAAACCATTTAAGCAATAATATAAAATCATCTCATAAGTTTTGCAAATTCACATGTGTAACAATTCACAATTGCAAAAATATTTAATTGCAACCTTAAACATCAACATATATCATATATATATGAAAAATTTACACACACGCACCCACAAGTTTAATATAGAAAATCCTTCCAAAAGAAGTAATAAACTACTCACCTTGATTTTCAAAATTCAATTCAAAACACTCTTTCTCAACCTCAATGCAATCACCAACTAATTCAAAATAACATGTAACGATCAATTCCTATTTCTAACTTCGTCATTTCGTGATTCTATATTTAATTTACGTAATTTCTACTCTTTGATATATACTTAATATATCCTTTACATATAAACATCCTTTCTAATATGAGGGAATAGGATATGGAAGTATTTTGGGCTGTTTAGAAAAAGTTTCTAAAATTTTGGAGTTAAATTATAATTTTTAAAACTTTTGGGGTCAAAGTGTAATTTTCTTAAAAACGAATTTTCTATCTTCGGGGCTGCCATAAATTTTCCAGAATTCTGTTCTTATAACTTACCAAGTAAAAAAAAATACTTAAAATTAAGTTCAGAAGAATAAAGAGGTCAAAATAAAACTCTTTAAAATTTAAGGAGAGCTTTCTATAATTTCTGAATTGGTCTTCTTCTACCTACGGTCATCCAGGTTGTTTGTTCTGCCACAACAATTCCAAACTATTTTCTTTTCTTTTTCAACCTATTGATTAGCCAACTATAAGTCTAAATTCAATCTAATAAATTTCAATAATAATAAACGATTACCATGAAACTCATTTTATATATGTGTATATATACATATTACGCAATATCATTATCATCAACTTAATATCATATGATTGAATAAACTATAAAACCCATAAAATAAATAATAAACTCACATTTAAAGGACTTAATCCACTTGTCTTCTTCCTCCTTTTTTCTTTTCTCTCTCTTTCCCTCTTTCACGTTATTTTTTTGTTATTTTTTTCTTCTTTGTTCATAGGACAGCCTCCTTCATAACCTTTCTCACCAAAAGACCCCACAACCTAAATATATTTTTATATATATAAGGGTTTGACCTATCCAACAATACTGCCTTATTTAAACTACATGTATAAGAGTCCTAATAGGTCTCTAGGTAAGACTTTTTATTAGAGATATATTAGTTTTTTTTTAAAATTATTTTTATCCTTATATATATAATTACTCCTAGGTAGTTAATGCACCAAAATAATATAATAATTTTTTTTATGAGTAATTACATCTTTGGTACAAGTCTATTTAGAGCAAGTCTTTGGTGTGTCTCTTTGGTATGTCTCTTTGGTGCAAGTCTCTTTAGTGCAAGTCTTTGGTGTGTCTCTTTGGTATGTCTTTTTGGTGCAAGTCTGTTTAGTGCAAGTCTTTTGTGTAACTCTTAGCGTGGCTCAGTGGTTCAGCTGTTTGGTGCAACTCTTTGGTGTATCTCTTTCGTGTATTTTTTTGGTGTATCTCTTTTAAAGTATCAATACAACGAAGTTTAAGAATGCTGACTTTAGATTGAGACGGAGAGAGAGAGAGAGAATTTCGGTGCCTTGAATACATAGGGGAGAGATAATTAGTTTGAGAGAGAAAATAGGGAAGAGAGGGGGAGAGAGAATAAGAATAAATGTTTAAAATTTAAACGAATGATAAAATCAAATTAAATTTGTACACATTTGAAAAGAAAATAAACTATCAATCAGTTGTGCATTGTTTAAGGAAAAGTAATTAAGTAACACAAAAAAAAAATAAGTAAACTACATTGTGTACCTAATACCAAAAAATTTATGTATAAGAGGATTTAATAATGTAAAAATTTGAACTATGAACTTTCCGTCAAATAAGTCTTACAAAATATATCCACACCTAATTTTTCCTAAAATTTATGAGGTCTTCTTTAAGGTGGAGCCTAAAGCCCAGACTTTAGTGGCCTAGTGATTGGGTTAGCCTTGGTCTTCAACCAAACAAGTTTTTCTAGGGTCGTGATTGAAGCTTTCAAGGTAGAAGATAAGATTTTTTTTTCTCAAAATACTTACAAGAGGCTTATCATAGTTGAAGAAAAGACATTCTCTACTTATAGGTTCAGAATAAAGATAATATTGGTCAACAGAAAAACTCAAACTCACGAACGATTGTCTGATTGGTGGGAGGATAGTCATAGGGCGGTGGTTACGTGAATGAAAATCACATTTCAAACCTAATCAGTGAGTGTAGACCGTTCGAGCGACCATGAGATCACTCGAGCGAGGTCAAAGATCACTTGAGTGAACTCATAAAGTGAGCCCTGATCTCCTTCGTGGTCTTTTTTCTTTTTTGCTCCCTAAGTCATAAAGAGATCACTCTAGCGAAATCAATTGATCATAGGGTGGTCCCTACTGATTTTTAAAACCTAAAACCAAATATTGGTTGCCTTTTTCGATAAATTTTTTGCTACGTTTGTCACATATCCTATTGATATGCAAAATTGTTTGCATAATACTCAGTTTTAAGCCTTTTTTAATAAACATTTACACTCAATTTTCTTAAAATGAAGTAGATTGCTATTTTTTTTTTTTCAGAAGGTAAATATTGTATAAAGAAACCATAAAATGTACATAAGAGGCCTGACATTTGACAAAATACATTAGGCTCAGCCTAGTGTAGCAAAAGTGTACAGCAAAAAATAAGAAGATGCTCTTCAAAAAGAATTTCAAGGGAAGTAAAAGCCCTGAGCCAATACTTCCAACTGAATCCTATTTCAATGGAGCATCTCTTGACCCAAAACCTTATGACACACAAGCAATTGCTTCAGTAGTCACCTTAGTCACCTCACGTCTTAGGAAGGAAAGAAATCACCAGATGATGGAGACATGAATAGGCCCATTTCCCTTGTCACAAACTCTATGCATTTAGGCATTGGGTGCAATATGAGAATTTCAATATTTACAGGTGTAAATTATGAATGTAAATATCTTTCGGGTGCAAAGTGCTATTTATCCTAATTGTTTTTCACTCTTTGGGCTTCCGAGATGTCCGACGTGTGATAAGTCTAACTAAGTAATGTTAGATGAACTTAAAAATTAAATTTGATAATCTCAACTATTGAATAAATAATGAATTTTAATAAATGATAGAACCCACAATAATGAGTCCTAATAAATGATGAGACCCACAATAAAATCAATGGTTATAATTATCAAATCTAATTTTTAAATCTAATTTTTGAATTACACCTAACATTGGTCTAAGTCTAACTCAAAAATCATTGTGGCAAAAGTGGAGACCCAGAACCCCTGGTGCTAATGCAGAATTCAAAAGTGAATGGTTCTGCAAGTTGAACAAATTTGAGTACGTAATTTGGACTTAATGTGGCATTAACAGACACAGCCGGACCAGTGCCCACGTTCAAACATACATAATCACAAGCTAAGTTTGGCGATGTCATTTTCCGATGCCAGTGCCGGCTAATAATAATAAGATGCTTAAGACAAAGTCTCAGGCCAGGCCGAAACTTTATCTTAAAAGGCTAACAAGATCCTATATGGCATATTCAGTGGGTAAATTACGGTTTGATCCTCTTAATTACAAGAGCTTAAATGGGTCCGGCGCCGGCAGGCATCTTTTAACAGAGAAATAGTCAAAATGCATGCATTTGCCAGAACTCTCCTGGCATTTTGTGCCTGTCTTTTCTTTCAGTTACAGTGACACCTTTAGACATGTAACAATTCTCTATAAATAGGGTTGGATACTTTTCGTGGTAGCAAGACAATATCCATCCACCTTATTTGTTCGGTGGTTTAGATTAATTAAGCTAGTTGGAAAAGTAGTATAACATGGCCGAGCAAAACGGCCGGAAGGCCAATGCAAACATGCATGAAGCTGCAGGCCATTCACTGGGTCTGGAAACAGAGGTCCAGCCAAGTTCAGGCAGCCAACAGGATACGAAGAGCACCAAGACAGTTCCATTTACGAAGCTTTTCTCATTTGCGGATTCCACAGATTGCATATTGATGATCGTTGGTTTTGTTGGTGCGGTTGATAATGGGATATGCTTCCCCATCTCCTCACTCCTCTTTGGGAAATTGGCTGATTCTTTTGGACAGAACCAAAATAACAAAGACGTGGTTGGGGTTGTTTCTAAGGTAAATACGCATTTCTATTTCATATAGTCTCTGAAGTAACGAAAATCTAATCAGTAGTATAAATTTGATATTGACGATGACTTTTTCAACCATTCTACTCAATAGTATTTTTGACTGTGTGATTGCTAATCTATTTGGCCCTTCTTATCATAAAGTCTTGGTTCCGTCCCTCCTAGATTGTCATTTTAACTTATGGGTAGTGAAAGTTTTCTTGACAGTTTATCCTTATTCTAGCTAGTGTAGTGATCAAAGAAAAAAAACTAACAAATTTTGTTGTTCGTACATTGTAGGTTGCACTGAAATATGTATATTCGGCTATGGGGGCCGGTATGGCAGCTTTCATCCGTAAGTAACTCTCACCTACATAAACATGCAGAAGATAATTTAATGCAAGAAGATGGGTATGAACTGAACTAATGGTGGATAAGATTACAAGAGCACCGCCATGCCATCCAAATCAAAACCCAAGTCTCTCATCTTAAGTACCCTTAGGTTCTCAAATAAAGTTCTTATAGCATTACTCTTTTTCTTATTCTACATATTCAATGTTGTAGTCTTGCCTTATTAATGATACTTAGAGATTAGAAAAAAAACGTGTTGTTTTTTCAGAGATGTCTTGCTGGATGATCACTGGAGAGAGACAAGGAGCACGAATACGTGGTCTTTATTTGAAAACAATTCTTAGACAAGATGTTTCTTTCTTTGATAAGGAATCAAATACAGGAGAAGTTGTGGGGAGAATGTCTAATGATACTATTCTCATACAAGATGCCCTAGGCGAAAAGGTACAAATCAAAAAGGCGAATTGCACTTAAACTTATTCAACTATTGTACGATTTTATTTTGCAACTTCAACTATTAACCCCTAAATTATTTGAATTGGTTTTATATTTCCCCTATGGTGCTTGAAATTTAAAAGTATGAGAAAGAGAGGCTAAAGAGTTCTCCGATAAAGTGAATATGCAAATTATCAAGATGTAAAGTGTGAACAAATAAATCAACCGTAGAAATAGATTAAGAGTTTCAATGGTTCACCAGCTAAAGAGTTTAGTCTCTTGCTCCAAGGGTCTGTATTGCTTGATGAAAAATTGGCAATTACGACTTTTTGTTATATCAAATGTTCATCCTTCTATTACCAGGCAAGAGTTTCTCTATTTATACTATTTAATAGAGTGATCCTTAAGCAATGAGGGAATGGTGTCCTAATTTGTTAAGGTATTTGAAAGGATATTTAACTATTAAAAATTATATTCTTTTAAATATGACGTGATATTCTAAAAACGGGTGATACGGCGGTGACAGCATTATTCTTGGATGGGATCTAACATTCGGCCTTACTCTTTATCCCTCTTCCTTTGGTTGCCCGAATCATTTCAGACTAATCGAGCTGATGTTGACTTGTTTCCGGCTGTGACAGAGTTGAAGTGACTTGTCCTCTCATTACCAAGTTGGTTGAGTATGTACCTCATGTTAAGGAGTTGGTCCTTTTGTTATGCTGTAAATGTGCCTTCTATAGTGATTTTATTCTTGGTATCATCACCCCCAAAAACAAACGTCCAACTTGTTTGGACAAACATATTCGAATGTGTAGTAAAATAAAAGTTTACATGTCTACAAAATATGAAATCAATAATCTTAGTTGAAGATCAAATGTGAGAGACCTAGTAGTTTAGAAAGGGATAATATAAAATTAATAACTATAGTTGGAGATGTAATGTAAGAAACTTAATACTTTTAGAAAATAATATTACACCCCCCACCAAAAAAGAAAAAATAACCACATACTCCTTTTCTTAAAGAGGAAACGTGAGACAAAAGATAGAGTTGAGGGGATCAAAGTATGATTTTTTCAAGAAAAATAAAACACAGATAATTGCATAATGCTTTCAAAGGAGGTCACTTTATACTTGTGGAATATGGTCCAAACAACTTCATAACACAATCCTAAGGTTGAGTGTTCTTTTTTGTGTTTTCTTTTTCTTTCCCCATATGTATATATCATTTTGTTTTGCTATAGGTTGGAAAATTTGTACAGCTTGTGTCAACATTCCTAGGAAGCTTTGTGATAGCGCTCATGAAAGGGTGGCTTCTTACTCTTGTGTTGTTATCCTCTATTCCTCTGATCGTGATCACCACTGGAATGACGTCCCTCTACATATCCAAGATGGCAAGCCTTGGCCAAAATGATTATGCAAAGGCAGCCACTATAGTAGAACAGACAGTAAGCTCCATCAAGACGGTATGTTACCAATCTACTATTGTGTCAAGCGTCGATGCATGGTCATTAAATTTTATTGTTATTTGTTTGTCGGAGACATGACGAGAAACTCAACATAAGTTATAGGGTGAAGAAATATATAAGATAAAAAAAATATATAACTCGTGCTTGTCATCATCTATATTTATTCAAACAATGTGGATATCATGAGATTGATTTTGGTGGATTCTATCATATATCTAATAGTATCTGGCATTGCCATTTTATTTTGATTCTTATCCAGGTTGCATCATTTACGAGGGGAAAAACAAGTTGTGATTAACTACGACAAGTCTCTTACAGATGCCTACAAATCAAGTGTTAAAGAAGGCTTGGCTTCTGGATTCGGTCTTGGAGCAGCTATGGCTTTTATGTTTTTCATTTATGCTTTAGCCGTTTGGTTTGGTGCAAAGATGATATTGGAGAAAGAGTATACTGGGGGTGAAGTGCTCAACGTAATTGTTGCTCTTTTGACAGGTTCCACGTGAGTTGTTTAATTTGTTTTCCTAACTTCTAAAACTCATAAAGTGCTCAAGGGTTTGAGCCATATAAACACTCCTTGCACTCAGAGTAAGGTTGCAAGTGTAAGATCTCCTCCAAAAACCTCAACGACAAGAGCATCATGCACTGAACCACCCTTTTTCTAATTCTAAAAGCATTTCAATATAGTCCTTTAATTGAGTAATAATTCCAATGTACACCTTCGCCAAAAATACGTTTTATTGCTTTAAAAGTTTTGTGCTTTAAAACCAGCTAATATTTTATTTGTTTCAGGTTTCTAGGACGGGCAGCTCCATGCATTAGTGCATTTGCAACAGGTCGAGTTGCTGCATTCAAGATGTTTGAGACAATACATAGAAAGCCCGAGATAGATATATATGACACGAAAGGGAAGATATTGGATGACATTCATGGGGATATAGAGTTAACGGATGTCTACTTTAGTTATCCAACCTGACCAGATGAGCCAATCTTCACTGGATTGACTCTTGCAGTTTCTAGGGGCACAAATGCAGCTTTGGTAGGATAGAGTGGAAGTGGGAAGTCAACAGTGGTTAATCTGATAGAAAGATTTTATGATCCAGAAGCTGGTGAAGTTCTTATAGATGGAATTAATCTCAAAGAATTCCAGCCTAAATGGATTAGGAATAGAACTGGTCTTGTTAGCCAAGAACCTGTACCATTTACAAGCAGCATTGAGGATAATATTGCATATGGGAAGGATGGGGCCAGGGCCGGCCCAGTAAAGGAGGAAAAAAAGCGTGGGCTTTAGGCCCCAATTATAAAAAGGGCCTCATATTTTATATGTTCATAATATAATTGAGGTTCAAACTTTAAATTCATAATATTCTAAGTCACTACTTCAAGAACCTTATAAAACTTAAGTCCAATAGAAAAATTATATGTTAAATGGTCTAAAACCCATCTATAAATCAGCCCACAAATTCAAGATCCGCATTTTTCTCCTTGTCCTAATGTTTCACAAAATTTATATCTTCAAACCCACCTAAAAATAGCCCACTTAATTTTGTTGGCAAGAGTGATAATCTAACTTTGGTCTATAGAGAATCAAAATATCAAATTTTAATTTTTTAAAGTAACACTGATAAATTAAATTTTATTGTCGTTTCATATTTTTAGGGCTTTTGTTTAAATTCAAGCTTTATTATTATTATTATTATTATTATTATTATTATTATTATTATAATTCCTCTATTATCACATGTATTTATTTTGATTATATATTATAAACAACTAGCCGGATATAATATTATTATTATTATTATTATTATTATTATTATTATTATTATTATTATTATTATTATTATTATTATTATTATTATTATTATTATTATTATTATTATTATTATTATTATTATTATTATTATTATTATTATTATTATTATTATTATTATTATTATTATTATTATTATTATTATTATTATTATTATTATTATTATTATTATTATTATTATTATTATTATTATTATTATTATTATTATTATTATTAATCCTCTATTATCACATGTATTTATTTTGATTATATATTATAAACAACTAGCCGGATATAAAAACTTCAAAATAAGAAAAATTAAAAAATCATTTGTAACTCAAAAAAAAAATCTTTTGATAAATTTGTTACATGTATCAAACAAAAAGATATGTTTGTAATTGGTAATATATGATAGCAAAATTTGAGAATACAATAATTTGATTAAGAATGTGTATTTTAACAAGCGAGAATTATTATTTTTTTAAAACAATTGTAGTAATGTTAAAAAAAACAAAGTAAAACAAAAGATCTTATTCAGATTTGTCGCTTTAGACCTCGATATGTGTCGGGCCCGCCCTGGATGGAGCAACTATTGAAGAGATCAGAAGGGCAGCTGAGCTTGCAAATGTTACTAAATTCATTGATAAGCTACCTCAGGTTCTAATTTTGGTTCATTATCTTAATTAGAGGGTTTCAAGAACACGGAATTGTCACTCTATATAGTTATCCAAATGATTAGAAATATATTTATTTTGTATGATTTTTTTTTTTTTTTGTTTACTCCTAATTGTGATTTACCGTTTCGCATTTAGGGACTAGACACCATGGTTGGTCAGCATGGAAAGCAGCTGTCTGGTGGAGAGATACCATAGCCAGAGTAATTCTAAAAGACCCACGAATTCTCCTTCTGGATGAAGCAACAAGTGCACTTGATGCAAAATCTGAGAGAATTGTACAAGAGGCATTAGACCAGATTATGATCAATAGAACAACTGTTGTTATTGCACATCGCTTAAGCACAGTACGAAACGCGATATGATTGCCGTGATTTATCAGGGAAAGATGGTTGAGAAAGGTATCTTAACAGACTTGCTAATTATGTAACCTTTTTCTGTGAGCAAACATCGTGAACCTATCTCACCATGTGCCATGGACATGTGTTCTTTCCTATGCCTTGACATGTTTTCTGAATTTTGAAGCAATTCCAAATAGTTTTGATGAAAACATATATTTCTTTGTATTGCATTTCCCACCCAAATTCATTCTTGAATCATAGATTTTTCCTTTCTTGCCATAATTGTTATAGTTAAAAGGAAATACATATTATCCAATATTATTTTTGTTGATCAATTAGGCTCCCATTCGGAACTGCTTAAGGATCCTCAAGGAGCATACTCTCAGCTCATACGCTTGCAAGAAGCGTATAGAGATTCAGAACAAGAAGGTGCAAATGACAAAGAAAAATCAAAAATCACTATAGAATCTGGTAGCCAATCCAGTGAACAGATGTCATTCCAGTGTTCAATAAGGAAAATACCATCTGACATAGGAAAGAGCAACAGACACTCGTCGTCGGTCTCACCTGGTTCACCTACATCACTTAGTTTACGTGAACCTGCAGTAACAGATCTTGAAGCTTCTATGAAGGAAACGTCAGAAAAGCCTCCGAAAATCCCATTGTGTCGCGTCGCCTATTTAAACAAGCCGGAAATACCAGTGCTTATAATGGGATCTATATCTGCCATCTTTAACGGTGCCACACTTCCAGTTTTTGGTATACTAGTATCTATTGCGATCAAAACGTTTTATGAACCACCAAATGAACTCAAGAAAGATTCGGAATTCTGGGCAGTAATTTTTGCAGGCATGGGAGTGGTATCAATACTGGCACATATGGCAAGAGGATATTTTTTTGCTGTGGCTGGGAGTAAGTTAGTAAGACGAATTAGATTGATGTGCTTTGAGAAGGTGATTAACATGGAGGTCAGTTGGTTTGACGAGCCCGAGCACTTAAGTGGAGTGATCGGTGCAAAACTCTCTAGCGACGCAACTACCCTGCGGGGTTTAGTTGGAGATGCACTCGCACATATAGTTGAAGATGCTACAGCGGTCATTTTTAGTTTGGCCATTGCTTTTGAAGCAAGTTGGCAGTTGGCATTGATTGCCATCACTTCGGTTCCTTTAATAGGAGCTTCTGCATATGCTCAAATTAAACTTATGAAAGGATTCAGCATAGATGCAAAGGTTAGTTTTCAGACTCATGATCCTACACGTTAGGCTGCAACATGCTCCAAGTTTTTGCAGATTAAAGGAAAAAATTAAAGTTAGCAATACGAAAACATGAAGTGATTGTTTATTCTACATGTTGAGGCAAAAGATTTTGAAACCTACATGTATTTATGTATGATTTCTCACCAATATTTCTGTATAAATGGTTGCAGGTGATGCACGAAGAAGCAAGCCATATGTTGCTAATGATGCTGTTGCGAATATACGTACAGTTGCTTCTTTTGGTGCAGAAGAGAGTGTGATGGCTATGTACAAGAAGAAATGTGAGGGTCCTTTGAGGATAGGTGCAAGACGGGGGTTGATTAGTGGAGTAGGTTATGGTTTCTCTTTTTTGACGTTATTTTGTGTGTATCCAATCTGTTTTTATGCGGGAGCTAGACTTGTTGCCGATGACAAAATAACATATTCAGATGTTTTTCGTGTAAGTCTCGAATCCTTCTTTTTTTTAGGGTTAAGACTAAGGTATAAAAAAATTATTTTATGAGAGCATACTAAAAGTTTATACCATGTAAAGACGAGGTTACAAAACAATCCGGTGGGATTACAACAAAATTTTTCCATAATTTTATCTCATCAGTTTATGCATGCAAGTATTATGAAGAAGTGACATCTCTGATCGATAATTTTGAGATTCATGTTGATGTTGCAGGTTTTCTTTGCTCTTTCCATGACAACTATGGCAATTTCTCAGTCGAGCTCTTTTGCTCCAGACTCAGGCAAAGCCAAAGTTACTGTCGCTTCAATATTTTCCATTCTAGACAGGAAATCAAAGATAGACCCAAGGGATGAGTCTGGGATGACATTAGAGAATGTGAAGGGAGAAATTGAACTACGACATATAAGCTTTAGATATCCCACTCAACCAGGCGTTCAAGTTTTTTGAGAACTCAACTTGACCATTTAGAGCGGCAAGGTGAAGTTTTACAACTCCATTATGTTTCCAAAACATATAAATATATGTAGGATATGTGTGACAATATAATTTATGGATCATCTCTTTCAGACAATTGCACTTGTTGGAGAAAGTGGAAGTGGGAAATCAACTGTGATCTCAATGTTACAAAGATTTTATGATCCTGATTCAGGTCATATTACACTGGATGGAATCGAAATTCAAAAGCTCCAATTGCGGTGGCTGAGACAGCAGATGGGTCTTGTGAGCCAAGAACCAGTGCTGTTTAATGACACAATCCATGCCAACATTGCATATGGAAAGGAAGGAAATGCAACTGAGGCAGAAATCATAGCCTCATCAGAGTTGGCAAATGCCCACAACTTCATTAGTGGGTTGCAGCAAGTTAGTACTTTTAATTGCCTTTTCTTACTTGTTCTTGATTCTTCTTTTTTTTTCACCTTGCATTAAGAACAATTAGGTGTGTGTTCTTTTCTGACTGATGCATAAAATGCAGGGACATGGTACTGTAGTAGGAGAGCGAGGAATCCAGTTGTCCGGTGGACAGAAGCAACGAGTGGCCATTGCGCGAGCCATATTGAAAGATCCAAAAATACTGTTACTAGACGAGGCTACAAGTGCATTAGATGTGGAATCAGAGGCAATTGTTCAAGATGCGTTAGACAGAGTGAAGATGAACCGGACAACAGCGGTGGTGGCACACCGGTTGTCCACTATCAAGGGAGCTGATGTAATTGCAGTTCTCAAAAATGGAACAATCGTAGAGAAAGGAAACCACCAAACTCTCATCAACATCAATGATGGATTCTATGCTTCTTTGGTTGCGCTTCACATGACCGCACCGTCATCTTAGTTTTTTTTTTTAGTTGCATTTAGAAAGCACGATAGGCACATGAACATATTTAAATAATAATTATTTATAATAAATTAAGTGCAAAATAATTAATTTTTATTTTCATTATTGACCTTTTCTACCTCTTTTGAAAATTTAATATATCATTTGTTTAGATATCTCTCAAACCCATTAGACATTTCCTCTTTTATTTATGATGAAGTTTATTACATTTTTTGTCAAAAAAAATAATTAAATTCCAATACTATTATTTGTACCATAATAATATGATATTTTTGCATCCCAAAAAATTAAATATGATACATATTTGGTCGTAGAATACAATACGACACAATATTGGTAGAGGTATAAGACTCGAATATTTGTAGATTGATTTTTTGAGTAGTAAATTAGGTTTTGATAAATTCTAAGTAGTTTTTTGTGGTTTTCTGTAGTTTTTCTCATTGAGAGTTTTTCATGTCAACACAATACAAATCCGAATACAAATATTTATTTACAAAAAATTGACACACGTTGCAATCCTTTATAATAAAAATCTCTCTAAAACGCTTTTACAGTTTTAATGGATAGAAAGGAACTTCTTTGGTTCGTAGTTGGGGCTAGAGAAAATCTCCAATTTCGAGGAGAAATTGCAAACTCTGTTTCCATCAAAAATTGAATAGAGTGCAGAAAATATTTTTATTTGACACATTAGGAAATTGGAATAAGCATGACTTATTTGCTCATTATCTAAACACCCAATACTTTCCAAACTCAAGTCATTATGTCTTATTCTCTTTGTATTAAAAAACTAAATTTCATGATGCTTGCATCAATCCAAATATTAAAGTTACATAACACCAAAAAAATATTCACTCACTCGATGAAACCAAAAAAAAAAATTAGCTTTCACTAAATGCTAAAATCAAACGGGCCACTCAAATTTATCGGTAATGAATTTAAAAATTGTCCTATACAGTCCAAAAAATAAATATCCAAATACGAAAAGAAAAAAAAATTAGTTATCATGATCAAATTATTTTTTCGCACCGAACACAAAACTGTTTAGGGGAAAATAATATCGTGATCAGAATAGTTATCACTAACAACTATGCGTTTCTGGTCCATGCAAATTCGATAAACAAAGAGACCACAAAAAGGTAGTGCATGCAACTTTGATTAACAAAGAGACCACAAAATGGTTCTCAATACCATAGAAAAAGTACACGTGAATGCAATTTCAGTTAATTAACACTAAATCATAACAAAACGGGATGATATTCATAATCTACACATGACTCATTCATAATCAACTATGTTGATAGACCTTTTGAGCTATCAAAATTTAATATTTAAACTTATCCTAATGCTTATATTTATTGCACATTCTAATCCATGGCTATTCCAAAAAAATTAGTTACAAACATAACTTCAATTGTGATTGTCAAACCAATGCAATCCTATATTATAAAAGAGACAAATCCAACTCGCAGAATATTGCCAAAATCTCACACAAATAGGGCTCTTAAGCAACAAAAAATAAGCCACATCCAAAATCAAATCTTTCCATTGATACATAAAAAATGCACTGCAAATATCTACAATAGGAGAAAAGAACAATGTATTGGTTTAAATGATATCATCCACGACTTCAATCACATCAATTGTATTCATCTAAAAATTCAAATCAAAGCAATCATTTCAAACCCAAAACCACTCCATCCATTCATTGAATAAGCTATAAACTAATTGAATCAACTATTTGCAATAAATGGTAAGAATGACTTGTATTATGAAAATGACAAAATTAAATAAGCCCCCAACAATTTTTTTTTTTTTNAGGAACTTCTTTGGTTCGTAGTTGGGGCTAGAGAAAATCTCCAATTTCGAGGAGAAATTGCAAACTCTGTTTCCATCAAAAATTGAATAGAGTGCAGAAAATATTTTTATTTGACACATTAGGAAATTGGAATAAGCATGACTTATTTGCTCATTATCTAAACACCCAATACTTTCCAAACTCAAGTCATTATGTCTTATTCTCTTTGTATTAAAAAACTAAATTTCATGATGCTTGCATCAATCCAAATATTAAAGTTACATAACACCAAAAAAATATTCACTCACTCGATGAAACCAAAAAAAAAAATTAGCTTTCACTAAATGCTAAAATCAAACGGGCCACTCAAATTTATCGGTAATGAATTTAAAAATTGTCCTATACAGTCCAAAAAATAAATATCCAAATACGAAAAGAAAAAAAAATTAGTTATCATGATCAAATTATTTTTTCGCACCGAACACAAAACTGTTTAGGGGAAAATAATATCGTGATCAGAATAGTTATCACTAACAACTATGCGTTTCTGGTCCATGCAAATTCGATAAACAAAGAGACCACAAAAAGGTAGTGCATGCAACTTTGATTAACAAAGAGACCACAAAATGGTTCTCAATACCATAGAAAAAGTACACGTGAATGCAATTTCAGTTAATTAACACTAAATCATAACAAAACGGGATGATATTCATAATCTACACATGACTCATTCATAATCAACTATGTTGATAGACCTTTTGAGCTATCAAAATTTAATATTTAAACTTATCCTAATGCTTATATTTATTGCACATTCTAATCCATGGCTATTCCAAAAAAATTAGTTACAAACATAACTTCAATTGTGATTGTCAAACCAATGCAATCCTATATTATAAAAGAGACAAATCCAACTCGCAGAATATTGCCAAAATCTCACACAAATAGGGCTCTTAAGCAACAAAAAATAAGCCACATCCAAAATCAAATCTTTCCATTGATACATAAAAAATGCACTGCAAATATCTACAATAGGAGAAAAGAACAATGTATTGGTTTAAATGATATCATCCACGACTTCAATCACATCAATTGTATTCATCTAAAAATTCAAATCAAAGCAATCATTTCAAACCCAAAACCACTCCATCCATTCATTGAATAAGCTATAAACTAATTGAATCAACTATTTGCAATAAATGGTAAGAATGACTTGTATTATGAAAATGACAAAATTAAATAAGCCCCCAACAATTTTTTTTTTTTTAAATCTGGAATGATTTTTAGAAATCCTCTAACCCTAAGACGAGAAAAACAAAAGGCACAATGGATTTTAGAAATTAGAGCAATGAATATGGTTTATAGCATGCTCATTACAATTTCTTCAAAAGATCAAATCTTCTCGACAAGAATCAAATCTGACATAAACCATTATTTCGTTATTTACAATTACTAATCTCATCAAAAGCCAAGCAAGATAGTCCCCAGTCACCACAACCACAATTCGAACTACACTTTTTATAGGATAAAATAAATGAGGACTTTCTAACTATTAAATAAAAGTACACCCGCGGTTAATTTATTTCAAAAAAATCAAAACAATTAAATTCATAGGAATTTAAACCACCCAACATCACTTAACGCATGAAGTTTAATAAACATCAAAATCTGTTAAGCCAACAATAGCAAAGCATGAAAAGGAGCATAGAATGTATTGAAATAGGTGCATTCAAATGGTGTAAACCATCAAATAAAAATTAGGCATCTACTTAAAATAAACACTTCAGGCATGCATTGGAGTTAAACAACACTTGAAAGTTGAAGTACATAAAAGACCTAAACTTAGAGCTCTTGTCTCAAAACTGCAATCATGTAGTCTAATAGCGCTAATCCCAAATCCACAAATGCACCATTTTATAGATACCCATTATAGACTCAACTAACACCAATCAAATAAAACACAAAAATTATCAGAATTGCAAAAAAGAAAAGACACTTAAATCATTAGAATCAAATAATTCAGTGAGAATAAAAAACCATCAAAAAAAATCTTTTAATAAACAAAAAAATCAATCTAGAAGTAACCCCGAAAATACACTATAGAAATTGTGACGCCCCATTTTTCCATAGTGATTTTGTATGTTTTATGTGATTTATGTGACAAACAGACACAATTCATCAATTGAATTGAACAGTTCACATACTTCGGTTTAGACTAGACAATCAGGGTCTCTAACGTACTTTCAAGTAAACTTAGGTACAAAGGATTTGTAATTTGGGCAGTTATTTAATATCATAGTCTAAATATCCAAATTATAC